CACTGCATAGACACAGGGAGGACAGATGCCTGAATACAGAAGCTGGGGCCCTGACAGGAGGGGCCAGGAGGCCTGGGATGAGAAAAGGAGGAAAATATGATGCCCAGTGAGGGGAGGACAGGTCGGTGAACAATGGGCCCTGAGGTGGGAATTCTAGCCTACCAGTCACTTATTGGGTATTCAGAGATAATCACTTACCCTCTCCCTGTCTTATTTTGCTGAGCCTGATCCCTTCCAGCGCCATCCATGTTGCTGCAATTTTTTTTTGTTTGTTTGTTTTCCTAATGTCATATGAATAAGTATTTTATTTTATTTAAATAAATTTTATTTTTATATTCCCCTTACAATTGCAACCCCCTTATTTTGACCCCAATCCCTCCCCTCCCCACACCCCAACTCCCATAGAGTGTCTCTGGTTCATATTTCTTTGTTGATTTTGATTTTCACTTTCTTATAGTTATTCATTTTCCTGGTCCCTTATTTAAGTTTTCTAGATTCCTGCTATGAGTGAGACCATCCGGTATTTTTCTTTTTCTTTCTGGCTTATTTCGCTGAGCATGATCCCTTCCAGCGCCATCCATGTTGCTGCAAATTGCATGTGTTTATCTTTTTTGAATAGCTAAGTTTTGGAAACAGCCCAAATGCCCAAAAATATATGACTGGATCAAGAAGATGTGGTACATATACACCATGGAATATTACTCAGCATTCAAAAAATGGATCATATTTTTGAATCTAAGACTTTAGTAAGATGCTGTTGAGCCTGCAGCAGCTGGGATCCACTAGGAGGCAGCAGAGGTCCACATCGGCTAAAGTGACAAAACTACCAGAGATGGGGTTTTGAGCAAGTGGGGCATGCAGAGAGGGTAGGAATAGCCCCCTAACACCTGAGAAATAGGCATCAACATTTTTCTGTAACATCGTCCTCGACAGTTGTGCAAATCCTTCTGAACGTGGCCTTCAGATCTGATACCTGACGAAAGTGCCGATGGCTCTGGTGATGGGTTCAGGTGTGTCCCTTCAACGATACTGAAGTTCTGTCAATGTGCACAAACACCTGTTCTCCCTGTGATGAGAAGCCCCTGTCCTGCCAGACACATCTGCTCTGCCTTCCCCAGATACGTGTTTGGCACACAGTGTTGCCTAATAAACATTTTCTGGCTGAATTGATTAAGAGTATTTTAACTTAATAAACTTCCCAGGCACCTAAAGGAATGGCTTATAATAATCACCCTTCGGATTGGCAGCCACCATGATGTGTATCCAGTATGTCTTGGCAGCACACAATTTGTCCTTGGTCTGGAGTGGACCTGGGGATACTGAGGCACAACACTATGACCTGTCCCTGAATAACAACAAGGACGGGAACTTACAGCATCTTAGTGACTCCATGTGTTCTTGCCTTGATGAATTTCATTTGACCTCTGCTACGCAGAAGCTGTATTCAGGGCTGGACCTGCACTGTCTAACCTGCTATTGTCCCCTGTAGAACAGGCTCGGTGATGCCGACACTTCACCTCTGAGCTCTGACAGCACCATTTCAGCCCAGGAGTAAATTCAGGACACATGGGAGGAGGAGATATTACCCACATTATCTGCAGGACCAGCTGGAGGAGGATCCTAAAGTTGGGAATTGGTTCTGCAGGAACCCTCCGCTCCCTGTGTCCATGGAGGCTGAGTCTTCTCTGAAACCACAGAGCCCTGGCTGATTTGCATACCCAGCAGCTCTCTCCAGCAAGTGGATAAGACAGGCCTGGGGGGAACCTGCCCAGCCTCAGCCTCAGGGAGTAGGATCAGGGACCCCACCATGGCCTGGACCCCTCTCCTCCTGGGCCTCCTGGCTCACTGCACAGGTACCTTACCCAGGCTCACTGTACCCCAGCCCCAGGGCTCTGGGACAAGCCTGGACATGACTCTGAGCTCAGCAGGGTCAGTCTGGGTGGGCAGGATGCTCTTGACTTTGTGCAGGATGGGGCTCAGGGGTGCTGAGACCCCCGGTGTATTCATGCTGCTCAGCAGCTTTGCCTGCACACAGAAATGGGGAGGGCATCACACGCTAAATGCTCCATCCATCTGCCATGCTGTGGGTCACTGGGACTGAGACTGGTGGAACTGGGCACCATGGGGGCCTGAGACATAGTAGCTGAGTCAAATTCATGCAGGGAGTTGGGGCAAATAGATCTTCCATCTTCCATCAACTTCTATTCCTCTCTCTTGCAGGCTCTGTGGTCTCCTACAAGCTGACTCAGCCACCCTCAGTGTCGGTGTCTCTGGGACAGACGGCCAGGATGACGTGTCAGGGAGACAACATTGGAAGTAAAATTGCTGACTGGTACCAACAGAAGCCAGGCCAGGCCCCTGTGCTGGTCATTTACAGTGATAACCAACGGCCCTCAGGGATCCCTGGCCGGTTCTCTGGCTCCAACTCGGGGAACACGGCCACCCTGACCATCAGCGGGACCCGGGCCGAGGACGAGGCTGACTATTACTGTGGGGTGTGGGACAGCAGCAGTGATCATCCACAGTGACACAGGGCCATGGGGAAGTGAGACACAAACTCTCCACCATCTGGGTAACACTCTCCTCCAGCCCCCGGGGGATGAGACTCAGCCATGAGCAGCTCTGACCCGGGTCCCCCAGATATGAGGTCCCCAGGATCCCCCCATTTCCCCACAAACCCCACGCAAGCTCTGCAGCCTGTGTCAGGAGTGTTGTAGGGCTCAGGGCCAGGCTGTCCCGATGTTTTCCGGACAAGGTTGTGAGCTGAGGAAACAGGGATGCATTGAAAGACAGAGGGAAGGAAACATTTGTTCCATGTGTTAAAAGAAAAAAATCAATGATTTAGGAAGTGCCCCAAATTTTTTAGTAAAATCGCATTTTGATGGTGAGCACCTCACTTAACAGTCAGGAAAGTGCCAGGAGGGACCTGATGCTGCCGCCTCCCTGACTCGGGCTGTTCTCTGTCCTCTGGACACCTGCACCCCCTCTCCGTGAGCGAGTGCCCCTGGGAAACGGCACCTGCCACAGTTTCTGTTTTCCTTATTGAACCACCGTTTCCAGACACAAACACCCTCCCCGTTATTAAACAGTCTGTGAGTTTGGACACAGCGCGCGTAGGGGTCGCGCGGCCACAGTCTCCACGCAGAACAGCACAAGCCCTCTCTGTCCTTCCCCGGCCCTGGGCGGTCACGCCTCTGCCCCAGCGCTGACGGTGCTGATCCCTGCCTGTCCCCGGAGTTGGGCCTTAGCGAAAAGTCATAAAATGGAATCACACGTGGGAGCTTTTATTTCTGCTTTCGTTCAGCATAAAGCATCTGAAATTCCTTTACGTTGCTGTGTGCACTGATAGTTCATTCTGTCTCCATGCTGAGAAGTTTCCAGAGAGGGATGAATACCAGTTTATTGACCATTCCCCATAATTAGCCTTTGTTCTCTGTCTACTTTCAACCTGGGCAATTTGAAACAAATCATATAGCATTTACTTGCAGGTTTTTGGTGGACATTGTTTTTATTTAGGTAAAAAGAAGGGAATTGCTGAGTCACATGGCAGATAAATGATTAACTCTCCAAGAAAACGCCAAATCGACTTCCAGTGTGGAAGCTGCTTTTGCACTTTCGTTACCACCAGCCACTGATAAGTCTTGCCGCTGTTCCGCATCCTCACACTTGCTAGAGATTTTCAGATTTTTTTTTTCTCCAAAACCTCGCTAGTAGGTCTGTACTGACATCTTGTTATTTTTCTAATATTCGTTTTCCTGCTGACTTACGGTGTTGAGTTCTATTCAAGTGTTTGTGTATTTTGTTTCTTACAGTGTTTGTTTTAAGTTGAAATTGTCCTGGTTTGTTTGTATTCATTGTGTGTGTGTGTGTGTGTGTGTGTGTTCAGGTTCTGTGACTATCAAATGACAAGCTCAACTCTCACCCCAGCAATGAAGCCCTAACACAGCTGCATCACCATGAGGATCCCCCATTCCCTTTCATAAGAACTTCCTCCCTCCTGCCCCTGAGTCTCCTCCTGTGCCTCAACCCTGACATCCTCTGATTTGTTCTCCTTTTTCACTTTCTTATGACGCTGTATAGAATTAAACAATAGAATCAGCTAATATGCTACATTTGGGAATGGCATTTCCCTTAGATGATTCCTCTATAGTCATCAAAATTATTGTTGCCTTAAGAATTCATTCCTTTCTATTTCTTATAATATCCCATGGTTCTGTTGCAAGATCATTGGTTTAACCACCACCCCAGGAGAGACAACTGGGGTGTCTTATGGACGGAGCACGGTGGACATTGTTGTCTGGGTCTTTTCTATGAACATGTTTTCCTTTTTATGAACTAAATACCCGAGTTCAATTTCTGGGTAGCCTACTCGTTACCAGACACATTTATAAAGAAACTGATGAACAGGAGCGGGAGGTAGAGGGTGCAAACCAGGAAGGGAAGAGCACAAGGGACTGTGGTGATGGTTCATGGGTGATCTGGTGTGGGGGGAATTTTATGAGGATTACACCTGATAGGAGAAATCAAACATTCTAAAAAATGAACAACAACGTAAAAATAAATAAATATTTTTTTTAAAAAAAGAAGAAACTGATAGACATGCCAGAGAGTTATCATGTCACATTCCTCCAGCCCACCTGAGGGATCCAGATGGTGCCATCCTGGCCAGCTCTTGTGTGGTCCCTCTACACATCAGACTTCCTGAAGGGTGCAGGGCGGGGTCTCAATGTGGTTTTATTTACATTTCTATAACAGCCAACATGAACCTCCTCCTGTGCCTTTTGCCAGCTCTGTGTCATCTTCTGGAATATTTGATCTTTCCAGGACAACGATGGCTTCTTGAGTGTGCGCTCTCCAGACACCGTCCATTTTCGGTTATTGGTGATATCACATCCTCTCCTAAAATGATTGCAAAAGAAATGATTTTACCTTTAATGAAATGCAAGTTATCAAACTATCTTTTACAAATCACAGTTTACCATGGAAATTCTTGCCTAGCACTAGAGTCTAATGAATTCTTTCTGGATTTTTCTCAAAAATATAAACCAATGAAAGTCCCATCTGATGGGGTCTCGCCAGTTTTGTGGATGGTGATGGAATCCGGAGTCTCACATGGTTGACCATGGTCCCCACACTCTGGCTTTAAGCGCAGCCCAGCCCGAATGTGTTATCCTCCCTAGAGAGGGATGAGAAGGGCACAAAATGAAGTGTCTTTGTATGGGGGGGGAGGTGGTGTTGTATGTGTGTGTGCTGTGTACACAGGGAACACTGTCTCACAAGTCACTGACAGATTAGAGTCTCTAGTACAGGTAATCTGACTGGGGTTCATGTCACATCTTCTATAAGCTGAGTATTTTTCTATCCTTAAGAGCCCATAGCAGGGCCTTCCCCAGTGGCGCAGCGGTTGAGCGCTGGGTCGCGAAGCTGCCCGCAGCCTCTGCAGCACTGGTTCGATCCCTGACTGCTCCCCGGCCACCAGAGGAGGGTCCCACATGGTGCGCAGACTCTCCAGCCGCCCGCTGCTCCCCTCAGCAGTGTACTTCGGTCCTTCTGCCTGTTCTCCTCCCCGCTCTGGCTCTGGTGAATTCTCTCACCCTCCCGCACTTCTGACTGTACCCAGTGCTTGTATAAATAAACAAATAAATAAATAACTCTTAAAAAAAAAAAAGAGCCCATAGCAGGCCACAGGAAGTAAGTGGATTAGCACTCTACCTGAGGATAAGAGAGGCCCTGATTGAACATCCCAAATGCAGGCTCAGAGACAGTTCCAGGGACATCTCCACCACAGCCTGCAGCCTAGCCCTGCACTCCTTGCTTATTATCTGCCCAGGTGCTGGCCTTAGGGATCAGCCCACACAAAAACTGGGCAGGAGGCTGGGCTTGACCTTCAGCTCAGTACAGGGGATGCAACAAGGGCTGTGCCCTCTGGGAATCACCCTCATCTTCACACTCACCTCTCTTCTCCTCTCCTCTTGCATGTTCAGTGGTCACTGCTGAGCTGAGTCAACCACAGGAAGTCTCTGTAGCCTTGGGAGATATGGTCACTATTACCTGCCAAGGAATAAACAGTTATGCTAGCTGGTACCAGCAGATGCCTGGCCAGGCACCTGTGCTGCTCATTGATAGTTTAGATGCCAGGCCTTCAGGTATCCCTGACCAATTCTCAGGCCCCAGCTCTGGGAGCACGGTCACCCTGACCATCACCTGGGCCCAGACGAGGACAGGCTGCCTACTACTGTCAGGTGTGGGATGAGGATAGCAATCAACCCACAGTGACACGGGGCCATGGAGAAGTGAGACACAAACCCTTCCTCATCTGGGTCACACTCTCCTGCAGCCTTAGGAGGATGGAGACACAGCCATGAGCAGCTCTGTCCCGGGTCCAGATCTGAGGTTCCGTTGCTCCCACTCCTACAGCTCCCAGGCAGCATCAGTACTGGGCAGATCAGGAGAAGTGAGACCACAGGACGAGGCTGCCATGTGCTTTCTTGACCTCAGCAGTTGTGGGCATTGAGGGCCCAGGTGGAAGGACTGAGGGGACAGAGAAGAGCAAGTGCAGAGAGAGACCTCGGGGCTGTGCTCAGATTCCCAAGAGCACTGGGGAGCCCAGGGGTGAGGGAGGAACAGGGTGGGCTGCAGGGATGCCTGCCCTGAGACACAGAGGGAGCTGCCGACGTCACTCACAGGCACGCACTTTCTCTGTCACATAAATATTGAACTGTTTCCAGTGATATACAGAATAAAGATACTTTAAAATGCTTAGAAATGAACACAGATCTCCAGTGGCACACAAGGAATCATTCACAATACCTGGCACTAATCAAAACCATCCTCTAGAGAATTATGGAAATATGGACCATAATTATACAGAAAATATCAATGATCCCAAACTGGTCTTGAAATTGTCCACTGTGTTTGTAGACAAAGAGACTAAATAAATGATTATGACTATTCCCATCAGTCTGTCTGTTTTGCTCCCCGCTCTGGCTCTGGTGAATTCTCTCACCCTCCCACACTTCTGACTATACCCAGTGCTTGTGTAAATAAATAATTTTTTTTTTTAAAAAAAGACATGTTACTGTCTAAAACAATATGCACTGACCATGTATGCTGAAATTTATAGTGTACAGAACAGTAAATTGCTGGATAATTACAGAAAATGAGTGAAAATAAATGATTTTTACATGGACTGTACACTCTATGTGACAGGATGTACATCACATAAATTAAATTGTGAACTATAATTATATGATGATTATAGTTAATAAGAAAAAAACAAGGGGAGGGAAAGTGGAATCATACAATTCAATCAAAAAGAAGCAGACAGAGGAAAATGCAAAAACAAAACATATGAGAAAATGAAATACCATAGAATATTTAAAATAATATTGTGGGCAACATGGCGGCGAGGAGACTCTGCGAGTAAGATCTCCCATTAAAAAAAGTTAATAGGGAGGAAAAGCGGCAGGTCCCAGTGAGAACTGGGACACGGAAGATAAACGGGTGACTCCAGCAAACTGCCCGAAGAAGAAAGTGGCCATAAAAGAGGACTAGAAGGGAGGGAAGCGCAGAACCCTGCTCCCCTCCCCCGCCCACAGAGTAGGCACACTCTGACCAGCAGAGAGGAGGGAAAAAAAAAAAAAAAACAAACTAAAACGACCAACAAGAACAAACTATGCAGCAAGCGGGACTGTGAGTGGAAAGGAACTATTTCAGCCACCACACCCCGTGAACGGGAGCTGTGGAGAATCCTGCAGGATTCGCCACGGAGGTGAGCTCCAGGCGCCATTAAAGAGAGACCCCGCCCCCCAGGAGGAGGCCAGCACCAGCACACAGCCCAAGGCCGCCCGGTAAGCTTGCTCGAAAAGCTGCGCACTGGAAAAGCAAATGCGGATAGGAATCGGGATCGCGCAGAAAAGCAGTGCGGTTGAAAAGCAAACGCGGATCCGGATCGCAGCTGCCCAGGTCCCCGCGCCTGCAACTTAGGCTTGCGGGGAGATGCGCGGAGGCCCTCACTGAGTGAGCAGGAACCAGGCGCCCAGGCACGGGAGCGGGATTCTAAAGGCGCCATTCCCGCACCACTGAACTGGTCTACAGCCCGCGTCCTGGAACTGAGGGCTTTGGAACTGAGACCCGGGGCACGAAATTAGGGGCGTGGGTTCCCCACGATGGTGGGGCACAAGGCAGACACATCACCCCAAAGCCGTTGAGGTTTACCCTACCATTCCCGCTCTGTTCCCTGTCCCACTGGGTGGAAAATCAGCTCCCCAAGAGCTCTAGGAGAGATCTCTGGCCCCACCTAGTGACTTGAAACCAGCAGAGGCTCCTGGAGGAGCCAGTGGCCAGCTGGGGAGTTAGCCCACGCCGGGCCCCTTCCGAACAAGTAGTCTGAGCCCACAGGGGGAGCGAGCACCCACAGCCGGGGCAGACCAGGCGCGCAGAAGAGTGTGCCTGAGACCGGACGCGCAGGGAGTGTGTCCCACATCACCATTTTAGAACAGGGACATTTCTTCAGTAAAGACTACCTACAGAAGGCTTCCTCAGGAGCCAGAGGTGAGCGGGGGAAGTTCGCCCATGCCAGACCCCCTCTAGCCTGCAGTCCAAGCCCAGAGGGGGAGCAGGAACTCACCGCCGGGGCAGACCAGGCGCACAGGGGAGTGTGTCCCCACATCGGCATTTTAGAACAGGGACCTTTCTCCAGTAAAGACTGCTTGAAACTGACATATGGCTCCTGGAGGAACCAGAGGGGAGCAGAGAAGCTCACCCAAGATGCCGGCCAGTCCCAACAACACAGTGTCCCAACGCATACGGCAAATTAGAAAACAGACAGTAGGGAGTAGAAGAACCACACGCAACCTAGCAACTCCCCAGGGAAAAAGCACACCACAAAAAGAAAACCAGACCCCAGATTGCAACGACAGTAACTTGGAAAAACTTCTGAGCCTTCCAGAAAGAGAATTTAAAATTGCCGTGATTAAAAAACTGACAGAAGTCATAAAGGAAAACAATGATAAGGGAAAAATAATTAATGATCAGAAGAATGAAATTGAGTCCCTAAAGAGGGAAAACAATGGTCAGAAGAATGAAATTGAGTCCCTAAAGAGGGAAGTAAAAGAAATGCAGGAGATCAAAGAATTAATGGAAGAACTAAAGAATTCTGGGAAAAGCAATGAAAGCAGAATAGATGAAATGGAAGAACGAATAAGTACTCTTGAAGACACAGAAATAAAAAGAACCAAAACAGAAAAGGAAAAAGAAGTACGAAGGAAAAAGAACGAAGAAAGACTTCGGGAACTATCTGACTCCATGAGGAAAGGAAATATAAGAGTTACAGGAATACCAGAAGGAGAGGAGAGAGATGTAGGAACAGAGAAAATATTTAAAGAGATAATTGAAGAGAACTTCCCAAATGTGAAGAAGGAGCTGAAAATTGATATACAAGAATCAAGAAGAACACCAAACGTCCACGACGAAAGGAAAAATACAGCAAGACACATAATAGTAAAGCTCCCAAGAATCCAGGACAAGGAAAAAATAATGAAGCTGGCAAGAGGGAAGAAACAGATAACATTCAAAGGAAAGCCAATCAGGCTGACATCAGACTTCTCCGAAGAAACACTATGGGCAAGGAGAGAGTGGAGGGACATAGTCAACAGACTCCAAGAAAACAGATGCCAACAAAGAATACTCTATCCCGCAAAGCTCTCCTTCCTCTTTGAAGAAAGAATATGGACCTTCCCAGACAAACAGAAACTTCATTACAACTAAACCCCCACTCCAAAAAATACTACAAGGAGTCCTAAAGCCAGAACCTCAGAGGGACGAATAACAATGAAAGAAGGCCAAAAAAAAAAAGTTATTAAAAGAATAAATAAATAAAATCAAAGGAAAGACAAACACAATGGCATATACAGATGCTAACATATCAATATTAACTCTTAATGTAAATGGACTAAACTCTTCAATAAAAAGACACAGAGTTGCAGCCTGGATTAAGAAACAAAACCCAACCTTTTGCTGTCTCCAGGAAACACATTTAGCTACAAAAGATAAAAATAGGCTCAAAGTTAAAGGATGGAAAACAATCCTACAAGCAAATGGACCACAAAAGAAAGCAGGAACAGCTATACTTATATCAGATAAAACAGATTTCAAACTCAAAAAGATAAAAAGAGACCCCAATGGTCACTACATTATGATCAAGGGGACAATACTTCAAGAAGAAATAACACTCATTAACATATACTCACCAAACGAAGGAGCACCAAAATATATCAGACAACTGTTGTCCTCTCTGAAAACAGACATCAGAGAAAACACATACGTAGTGGGAGACTTCAACACACCACTATCAACAATGGATAGATCAACAAGACAAAAAATAAGTAAAGAAACCAAAGCTCTAAATAAGGACCTAGAACAATTGGGCTTAACAGACATCTATAGAACACTAAACCCCCAAAAAACGGAGTACACATTTTTCTCAAGCGCACACGGATCATTCTCCAGGATCGATCACATACTGGGGCACAAGACAAACGTCAACAGATACACCAAGATTGAAATCATATCAGCCATCTTTTCTGACCATGAAGGCATCAAACTAGAAATAAACCATAAAAAGAAGGCAAGGAACTTTCCTACCTCATGGAGATTAAAAACCACACTACTGGAAGACCACTGGACTAATGAGGAGATCAAAGAAGAAATTAAAAAATTCTTTGAATTGAACGACAAGGAGGACACCAATATCCTAAATGTATGGGATGCAGCAAAAGCAGTAATAAGAGGAAAATATATAGCAATAGAAGCTCACATCAAGAAACAAGAAAGAACTCAAAGAAACAACCTAATCTCGAAGCTCAAAGATCTAGAAAAAGAACAACAAAAAAACCCAAAACCAGTAGAAGAAAAGAAATAATAAAAACCAAAGCAGAAATAAATGAAATTGAAACTAAAAAAACAATCCAAAAGATCAATGAAACCAAGAGCTGGTTCTTTGAAAAAATCAATAAAATAGACAAACCCCTAGCCAGGCTCACAAAGGAAAA